CCTGGAGAGGTCATGGGACAGGAGTAATGTTTCTGCGACACCTCAGCGCTCTCTGCGGACTTTACTGCGGAAATCCTGGCTCCAAGGACAGGAAGACAGGTTTTCCTCTTTTATGACTCGCAGGATATATCTCGTTTTCCATCGTCTCTCCACACTTAACTCGTATATTTCACCAGCACCCCTTTTATCTCTCTCTCCTGATAATCCACTGCTGTGAATAAACAAATAAACAACTGTAAATAGTTTATTTACTTACTGATAAAGTCATCGTCCTGTTTTCACCCCTATCAACTCAATATCTTCTCCAGTTCACTCTATCACAGCTGGTGGGTCGTGACCTGAAAATGTTTTGCTGGTCTGTTCTGATAAAGTCAAACAGCGGGGAACAAAACAATGCTGAATGTGAATAATAATGCAACTAACAATGTAATAGTTTAATATTATATTTTAAAAAAAATCCTCTGCTAAACTGAATGCTATTTTACTAACAACATAATGACATTTACATGATTAGTGAATACATCATCAATCCTTCTTCCAAAACTTGTTTTTGTCTTACCCTGATTCACTATGGTAACGTTAAGCCTATTATAAGTGTTTATATTTTAGACCTAGCAGAGATTGTTTTTCACGTGAAATTGCGTGTATACATACGTGTGCGTGTCTCGTCATATCCGTAAATAGAGAAGAGTTTCTCCGGCATAGGTTAGTTTTTTCACAACGAGCGAGAAGCTTGACATCACGCTGACTGCCAGATTTACTAAAGAGGGGGAATTCGCGTGAGAGCGCAATAACAAGAAAGTGCCGATGGGAATGGAAAGTTTAGCACGTAATCTACTGACGACATGAAATTAGAGAATTCAGATGTAGGCGGATCATTTCCATTATGACCCACTTAATCTACCAAGAGCAGCGCAAATTAATATCTGGTTTAAGACATGCTTTTTGGGCGGTAAATAATGGCGCAAATACCAGTAAATTGACTGGCGCAAACCTTAGTAAATCACCTTGCATGATTCATTTAAATACTCTCCTCCCATAAACTTTGCGTCTGAAAGGGAAACTGCTAAAAATTCATATGCAATAAGATGCAAAAAGACAACGAAACACAGTTTGTAATAAAACAAGAATCAACATTGGCTTGGCTTTTCGGAGATGGTGAGAACTTTGAAATGTTGTAAAAGTGACGCGGAGATGGCAGTGAGTACGATTTTTTATTGAACAGATTGCCATAAGTAGCTCTCTAACAGAGTTGATTGTAAAGTATTATTGTGAATGGCCATTTCATTATGGTTGTTGTAGCACTGTGCTGGAATTTATTTTCAAGGAAGTACTATGTTTATTAATGGGTATAACTCCAGTATATGTTTTCAGCTAGTCAGCTTGAGATCCTTTTCAAACTGGTTATATCTCTTAAGCCTAGTAGTGTTTTATGAGCAGTAGAATGACCATATTCATCCGCACAGTCACGCAGAACCAAAGCACAACCAAAACAATGTTCTTCCACAAAATGCATGAAGTTCTTTTTAACCACTGGAGGGCCATAGTGTACCTTTAAGTATTATCTTATATACTATACTTACCTATATACTATCTTATTTTCTTACTTTAGTTTAGTTTTATCTGATATTATATTAGTCATATATGAATTATTGTTATAACAGAATACTTCCTGATTATAACATTGAAACATTTTCTGCAAAGCTCCATTTACAATATGTAAAAAAAATTGTTGTTTTTGTACACTAAACAAATTTGATCGGCATTTGATTTGGGCCCTGAGGAAAAAAATTCCAATATCTCACTCAAAAACAAAGCCAATCTGCCCTCCGCTGAAATCTCCAGAAAACATCCTCCCGGAGCCCTGTGTCCTGACAGCTCTGACACGTCCTGAGAGATGTTGAACAGACATGAACTCCCCTCGCTGGAGCTGCAGCTGAACTCAAGGCAAAGTGGGAAACATCATACAAAGGGCCAACTGTTTTAGAGAGCCCTCAGTGGTATAGACATAAGTGTAAGCCTTTACTACCCTTTATTTCATATTTGTTTTATAGGCCTACTTTAACTCATCAGGGGAAATAGCTTTCTTAATCTCTTTCTGTGCCACTGGAGTTTCCTCGATCTCTTTCATATTTCTCATGTTTTTTTTATATGCCCCTTAACCGTGTTAAATATTTTCTTCAGGACAGAAGGAGTCCTTTTATTGTGCTTGAGATGCTTGAGTGTCTGATTCTTTTTTACGAGTGTGAGTTTTTTTCTTTTGAAAGTGAGCTTCATTCATTCAAGCTGTCCATTTACTCACAATACCAAGTATTGCATTAAGAAAATGCAGAAATGTGTTCTTTATGTAACTGTTAAATCATAAAATATGTCAGTTTTGTAGGATGACGTGCTTCTAAAGATCTTTCCAGTGGTCTTCAAAGCACAAATAAAAATGCAATTGCATCAGAAAAAAAGCACAGACTGTCATGGCATGCGCTGTAAAAAAAAACAGATTTTGAAGTTGTAAATAAAACAAAGATTATTGGAGAACATTTTGCAAGAAAATACTATTTGAATCTTTCTACTTCAAATAAAAAATAGCTAACAATTTCTGAGAGAAATGTGTTTTAAAGTAAATCCTACACCAACACTCTTTTGTGGAGTGTGTAACATAAGTCCAGGTCATATATCTTCTCATTGGGCAAAAAAAAAAAAAAAAAAAAAAAAAAAAAAAAAATATATATATACTCCTGGATAAGACTACGCCCCCCACCCATCACCCCAAAATGCCCCAGCCAGAGCAGTGTGGGGCCAAAAAGAGAAGTGGGAGTGGAGAGATATAACTGAGTTACCAAGGCAGGACATCTTCGTCAAAGGAAGGAAAGAGCAGTGCAGGAAAGGAGGAAGAGAAAAGGCTGAAATAGAGGAGTGACCGTTCCATAGAGGTCAGTTTCACACAGAGCCAGTGGAGATACTACAGGCGGACATGAAAACTATTTAAATATAACGTATAATAATATAAAGACCTATATAATCATCTCAGCCAGTCTTTGAAGGATTTGTCTGTTTCGTTGAGGAAAGAAAATTATAAGAAAAGGGAAAAGTTTTTCTGCAGGAGGAAAGGTGGTTTTTGAGGGAACGGACAACCTACTCTATGTAAGTAGAAGATATGGGACTTTTTGAACTTGTGCAAATAGCACTGTTTCATGATTTTTAAGCATATTTTTTAAATGTATATGATTTTTAAAAAATGTATGTATGCATATAGATTTTGGGCTTTGTATTGGTTTTGAACTTATGCAATTAGCACTGTTTCATGATTTTCTTATGGACATATTTTAATATATATGATTTAAATGTTTATTTCTGTTTGCATATTTAAATATGCAAATATATAATGTGAATTTTTTTATCATTCAGGCTTTGGATAAATAGAACACAAAGGTCTTTCAGTATTATGCATTAAGACCTGGTATCTTGGAGCCATGTTAAATATTTACATTTAATCATTTAGCAGCCGCTTTTATACAAAGTGGGGGGAAAAAACTATAAAAAATATAGTCTCAATCTAAAAAGTGTTTTCAATACACCAATGATAAACACTGCAATTCATAGATTAGCTCAGTTTATGCTGTTCTTTTTTCCTGGCATATCTATTGACTTTAATTCCCTAAAGACAGTCTATGTCCTGTCAAAATCCCCTTGATATATTTTGTGGAATTTCCTGATATTCGGAACCCTGAATCAGAATGTAAGAAAAGTCGTGGTGGTGATTTAATCTTGGAAAATGTACAAAATCTTGCACTAAAATCACTTCTAAAAAATTAAATATAAATAAAACATGTTACTATATTAAAACGAAAAAAAACATCAATAAATAATCAAATAAAATATTAAAATAACTTCCCACCATCACTTAAACGGATTAATACCGTTTGCAGAATTAATAAAAATAAAGAATATAAATGTAGAGTCTTTCGGTAATATTGTCACTTAATAAAAACACAAGTGATGTAATGGTGATTGTTTGGGAAAGGTTTTTAAATCAAGGTCTCGATAACATCTGAACTATTAATGGCAGAGTGATATCATACTTGTATTCACTAAAAAGTGGGCGCACTCCAAATAAACAACATCTGTCTCTAACATCTGTCATCAATGCTACTACTCAATGCGTATTTTTGATCAAAAGGACTAAACAGCATAAATCAAGGGAACATTTTTATTTTCCTGACATTCACTTGCTTAAGTGATCGTTGTGAACCTGTAACAAGCTGTTAAGGGCTCTTTATGACGATTTCTTTTTAGGATGTTGCTCTTTTGTGGGCTTTGTGATCTATAGTCAGCATTCAGGGTTTCCTGATGAGCCCGTTCCAAAGTTATTGTTTTGTATTTTTTGGTATCCTGGAGATCAGGGTGGGGTCAGCGGCTTAATTTCCTGATGTTCAGTGTTAGTTATCACCATTTACTTTCTCTACATTTCACCAGAACTATTTTTGAGAAATACAATCCACAACGGTTTCCACCAACAAAATCACCTTTAGAGGAATATTTTTGATTGACAGCACTGGTAATGCTGATTACCACAAAAAAATCATTTTCACTTCTGTTTTATAAAATAGAGCAACAATGTTCAATAGTTTAGACACAGGACATAAACATTATCCCCTGGTTTCACAGCCAAGGCTTAAGCTAGTCCAAGACTAAAATGCATGATTGAGCTGTTTTAACGGAAAGCAACTTGCACTGACGTATCTTAAAATATCTCCAGATGCACACCAGTAATGTTTTTTGGGTACGGTTATAAAATCTATTTAAATGCCCTAATTGAACTAATAGGCCTAATCCTGCGGCTTAATCTAAAGCCTGTCTGTGAAACCAGGCCTAGATGTTACAAAAATATCATTTGACATTTCATTGTTTGTGGCCATTTTAGCCATTACTGTATCATTATTAACCAATAGCCCTTAATATACTGTATCTATCTAGACAAAAACTGGACTATCATACCTGACAGAATGATGAACGGCAAGATGAGTCTTTCCCGTAATGGTTCCCTGGAGAAACCCGTCTCTCTGCAGTCCCCCACAGATCGGGGGGAGCCCGAATCTCCTCACCCGCGTCTCCATCACACCGGTTCCATCTCCTCCAGTACTCCAGCAAACCTGTCCAGCTCAGGTGTAGTGGTTCCTCCTCCGTACTCAATAGAAGGTAGTGCAGTGATCGACTCTCCTCTGGAGCTGAGGGGCTCTTTGGACTGTTGGGCCTGTTCTGTTCTGGTTACAGCACAGAATCTGATCATCGCCGCCCTCAACGTAGGTTTGGCTGCATTTATCTTCGGCCTCATCCTCTTGCCAACGCTCATCATGGTCGTTTTTGGCTTCCTCTGCCATTCAACGGTAATCTTTTTTACGTTGGTACATTTGTATAAGTAATGTTGTCTTAAAGTCATCCAATCAAAATTCATCCTATTTGCTTTTATAATGTACATTCCTAGTCTAACTGAACGTGATTCAACGGTGCACGTTAGAACAAATAAAAAAAAGAGAGTAAGATTTGAGCAAAAGAAACTACACAGTTCAAAAGTTTGAGTTAAGATTATTTAATGTTTTAGAAAGAAGTCTCTTCTGCTCACCAAAGCTGCTTTTATTTGGTCAAAAACACAGTAGAACAGTCATATTGTGAAATATTGTTACAATTTAAGATAAGTGTTTTAAATTTTTATATTTTCAAAATACAATTTATTCCTGTGATGACAAAGCTGAATTTTCAGCTTCATTACTCCAGTCTTCAGTGTCACATGATCCTTCAGAAATCATTGCTGCTCAAGAAAGAGTAATGTCAGTGTTGAAATTGGTTGTGCTGCTTAATATTATTTTTATGGAAACTGTGGTGCATTTTTACTTTCATATTTCAGAATTATAAACTGAAAAGTTCAAAAGAACAGTTTATTTTAAAAATGAAAATATTTTGTAACATTATAAATGTCTTTACTGTATTTTGATCATTGATGAAGTGTTCATTCCTTTGAAAAATAATCTTACTCCTACCTTTTGAAAAGTACTGTATGTATGTAATATGTATAATTATATTTTAATCTTTTTTCTGTACTTGTCCTCACATACTGCAGTTCCACCCCAAATGGGTTGCCAAATCACAACTCTCTTTCCTCGAAGGACATTAAAACATCTTAGATTACTCGAATGTCATTCAAGCACTGATGACTAAACTTCCCACATTTCAGTGCAACTAACACAAAACATCTGGGTAATAAACTCTCACACATAATCCTCTCTTATCATTTCACTGAATCTGTGATAAGTTAACTGTCTCCAACTGAGCTGTCTCAGTCAACTCCCACTGCCTCACCACATGGATGTTTTTTTTAAATTAATTATCGCAGGTCAATGTATTCATGCTCTTATCTGATCAGAAAATATATTACAGGCACAATTTGTACAGTACTTTGCCCTACCTCTCTTTCTTGCTAATTAACTCTCCCTGTTTTGTTCCAAAGGTTCAACGCCACGGTACTTCCGTCTACTGTTCAGATCTCTTGGACGATGGAGGTTGTGTGGCTTTGCTGGTGGTGGGGTTCCTGCTGCTGGCTCCGCTCCTGGTTCTGGCTCTGGCCGCTTATTGCAGGATGGCCCGCCACCTCCAGCTGGGTCTGTGCTTCATCCCCTACAGCCGGGCCGTCTACAAGAACCTGCCTGCATCAGGTCATCGAGGCCTGGGGGGCTGCTGTGGCCAGCAGGGGGCAGGAGAGAGCGAGGGAAAGGGAAGCGTGTGGGTTTGAGCAGCCTGAAAAACCTACAGAAGAGCCTGGTGAATTTAATGTGAATAGCCATTGCAATAGGTCACAACAGAACCCAAATAATACCAAACAGAACAGATACAAGCAGTGCCACGTTCTCAGCAGATTTGTCAAATTGATATATATATATATATATTTTTTTTTTTTTTTTTTTTTTTTTACAAATTTTACATTTATTCAGTGTCAGTCTTTTTTTTCTTTTTTTTAGCTCTTTTTAAGTGACTTTTTTAACTGGCTCAACCTATACAATGGTGAAAAGAGGTGGGACTATGTTTTACAAATGTTTAATGTTGTTTCTTTGTAACATGTTTTTGCATTTTTGTAGGCCTATTTTAGTGAATTTTTGTATACATGAATAAGAAACTATGAAGTCTTTGTAAAAATGTTTTTTATTACTGTACAAACACCTCTTACTAATAAAATTAATAAAACATTCCCTATGACGAATGTATGAATTCAATTCAATCAATTCATTTTCACTTTATTGTTGGAATCTCTTGCAAAAGATGTGTCTCGCATCCCACAGCGTTTACTGTCTCACATCAATACACATCAAAAAATAAAACACAATAGAATTAACACCACTTGATACAAAGACACATTTAAGTATGTAAATACACAACCAGCTACAGTGTATTGATTTAGTCCTTTCTATTTTAAAGGATCCTGAGGCCTATACTTAAACCCCCAGTTCTGATTTATTAAAGCTCCAGTCCGTAACTTTTTTGGGTTAAAAATTATCCAAAATAAATTTTTCAGCAAGTACATAACCAGCCAGTGTTCAAAACTAACTGCTTGCCTTAGCTCGATTCAAAACACTAAGCTTGTTATAATGTTTTTAATTCCAGTGGTACTGGTAGCCTGGCTAACGTCAGACCACGTCTCATTGACATTGAGACGTGGTCTGGGAACCACATGTTCATTTTCTCGTATTTGAGGCGTGGTTTACGAATGCCCAGAGCCGTTTATTGGGTGCTACGAATGTCTATCAAATGCGCCTGTACGTAGCTCATAGCCAATCGTTTCAATTATACCAGATGACGTATGTAGAGCGACAGAAATTAGACGAGGAAGAAGACGATGGGTCAGAGATTTATTTGCGTTCTAAACTACTTAGAACAATATCCAAGGCTGCATCGAAAGGTAACTTCGCGTCTGCTGCCATGTTGGATCCATAGGTATAAACAAACTGCTTCGGTGTGTCGCAAAGACGTCGTCATCGTCTTGCTGCTCCCTCCCCATTCTGTGATTGGTCCCCTCGCTGAGGCGAAAATTTGGTCCGGTATCCATTCCAGACTGCCTAGAAGCGTGAATAAAATCATGCTGCGCAAAGGCAGTATGCATGGGGAAACCCTGGCTATGGTACTGGTGGCTTTCCGCGGGCAATTTGAGCATGTCTTTGCGTCATTACGTCACATCTGTACTCATAAACGAGTCTCGGCTAGTAGGCTATATTGCGAGTGAGGATGTTGGAGGTGGAGAGATTTATAGCCTTTGCTCACAGCACTTGTTATAATTAAACTTATCAATTTTAAGGCGGATCCAGAAAGGTTCAAAAGACAATCACCAGTGACAATTAGAGATTCACCCGTTGTAAAATGCAAAAGACTTTAGACTGAAAGTTTGGAAAAAGAGACTGCAACCGGCCCATGCGAAAACAAGGATAAATATCTGAAGAAGGGCTTTAAATGTAGTCACGCAATGCTGATGTTGTTAACATTAACAATTTGAGAACAAAGTATAATTTGCACGGTTTGACGTGATATGATAATCGATCGTTAGATTTAAGCAGCGCAATTTACTGCAATGCCTTTTTTCCCTTAGTTGGTCAGAAGGACAAAAGTGGATGTTACTTACTTGTTCAGATTACATTTTCCGGTGAAAATTCTTATGTTGGTCATACTTCCAACAAGTAGAATCTGTGATTCTGAATGACAGTATCCACACCGGCGCGGTGACTGACAGCTGCACAAATATCCTCAAAACATTGCATTCATCCGAGCTGTACCGTGCCGATGTACAACTCACATAAAGTTGATAATTCCGCGAATGACTGCAATTGCAGATTTCGAACAGAGATGGCGACAAAGAGGAAAAACTGCGGACTGCAGCTTTAATTTTACCTGATGAACAAGATTTCTGTAATCTGTTCATTCTAGCCATAGATATCCATAATAAAGGCTAGATGTCTTACAGCGGAGTCTCTATCGTCATCACCGGCGGCCATCTTGTCACAGGGAAGCTTTCTGGCGGGCTCTGTGGTTCCTGATTTAAGATGAGTGATCAGCACGAACACAAATACTCTTATCTCGTTGAAATCTTGATGGATTCACAAACGGTTTGGTTTCTTACAAAAGTTATTAACGTGTCTATAATTCTGGATGATTATTTATTGATACACTTATTCATAAGTGTGCAGTGTCATAACTACATCTCTGACGTTTATAACAAACCAAACCGTTTGAAAATCGGTAGAAAATTTAGCAACTTATGGTTATTTAAAAAGTACATGCACCATTAAAACAATGTTACGAGCGAGCGAGCTGCCTGTGACAAGATGGCCGCCAGGTGCGGACGTCGACCTCCATTGGCCAGCAGCGCGGACGAGACATCTAGCCTTTATTATGTATAGCTATCTATGATTCTAGCATTTGCTACTCTAAGGCTGCGTCCCAATTCGCCTATACTACGCCCTAAAAATTGACTCTTTTTGTGAAGAAAAAGTACATACTTTTGAGTGTGTAGCAAAGGAGTAGGCAAGCTTTGGGACACACTACTTCGTCATCTTTAACGGACAGCTCTGTCGCGCGCATCCTATCACCGTAAACTGCCCTGTCAATCATCACAGTCGTGGGTCTTTCATGCAGTCGTGGGTCTTTCTCTCCTCATGTGTTTGCAATTTGAATGTAATGATGCATTTAAAAGTTAATGGCTATAAACTTATCTTTACAAAAGGTCACAATGCTGCTGCAGATGCAATATAATAATGTAGACAACATTGAATAAATACATTTTCGTCAGGTTAGATACTGATAATTAATCACTCAAACCCCTTTATCTAAACCTCTCTACACAACCGCCGGACTCGCGCGTCCTCCATGTCTGTAGTTGTTTAACACTTTTCACTCGTGTTTGTAGTTCTAACCGAATCCTTGTCCAACGCGCAATGGGTTGTGGGCAATATCAGCCATTAGAGTGTGCACTATTTTTTACAGTCTATGAGTGTGTATCGATCGATCTGCACTTCGGATTCTGACCGGATATAGTAGACCATCCGGGTCTCTTTGGAACACTCATTTCAACATACTACGATTTGGGACGTATACCAATTCTATTTTCGAATACTATTTAGGACGTATGCGAATTGGGACGCAGCAGCTGTTTGAAGGCAAAAGTTGATATTCTTCATACAAAATATGTCAAAAATGGTCAATGTGTGGCAAGCTATTTAGCAATTTTGAGAGTTGATTAGGCCTATACCAGTCTCTCTTCATTACACAGTCACACACACAAATTTTGTACGCAGTTGCAATGAATTGTATTTAATAGGTAAAGCAGCTATAAATGATTTCTGTGGCACCAAACAAAATTACAAAAATAATTATGTTTTTTATATGTTTTCTGGAAAGAAAAAACATGGTGCCGTCTCCAAATTTTCTGATTGGCTAAAAGGCGCGGGCCGCGATTAACAGCGGGTTTGCACTATTAATTACAATAATATAACTCTCTAAAAATAAAGTTCTAATTTCCGTGATAGGCTATCTTATCAGACACAACGGGTAAAAACAGCTGGTTTAATGTCATTAAAGTGATTTATGCGTTTATTGCATGCACTTTAGGCAATAAAGAAGGTTTGTTATGGCAGCTTCCAAAAGAATGTAGCCTACTCAGTCACTTCTGAGCTCAGATTGTTGTTGCTTTCAGGATTAGTTATTTAAAGCCTCGGCCGGTGGAAATTTCCCATGTCGTTCCGCGCACGCTCAATCAAAGCTTTAATACGCAACCGAGGTAACAGAACAGAAGGGCAGATAAGAGTCAGTAGGTACAGCATCATCAGACATTATCCGTCGGGAATGCTCGCTGCTCGCTGTCCTAACACGATTTCTGCAGGGACCAGGACGAGCACAATCTCATGGAGCCAGAGTTTCAGACCAGTCAGATCACTGGATGAGACGCGCGCCACTTTGTTTCTCTACAGGTACGTTTGGAACAAGTGCTGTTCAAAGTGTCTTTAATTGGAATGTGGCGAAGTGTTTTGAAAAAAAAACGTTTTAACTTATATGCAGTAGGCCTATGCAGAAATGTTTAAGTGCTTGGCATAATAATAGGCTTATTTTACCTAAAATACGGTTATGCTACTTTAACGTGCACATTTTCATTTATCCTGTTAGTTACCCGAAATTTTAATTATAGGCTATAGCCTAGACAATGCAGATCTACTCAGTATTTTAAGAGTTTGTTATTATTTAGAAGCCTACTATATTTTACTAATTTGTATGTTATAAACAAAGTGTTTCTCTCAATGATGGGCTCATGTTTATCTGGATTTGCACTCATTTGATCTGTGATGTGTGTTTGTCTGCGACGCACGCTAAGTCGCTCTAGTTTGATTTTCTTAAATGAGGGATTAGCCTGTCCTCGGTAGAGTTTTATGTAAGATACCTTTCACAGAACGACAAAGCATCTTTCTCGAGCATCTCTAGGCTGTCCGGTGCTTAAGGGATCATTAACCACTGGAATGTAAAGGGTCTTGGCTAGTTTCTGCTGATGTCAGGGATGTCCTCTCTCTCTCTCTCTCTCTCTCTCTCTCTCTCTCTCTCTCTCTCTCTCTCTATATATATATATATATATATATATATATATATATATATATATATATATATATATATATATATATATATATTGTGGCATGCAGTCGTGTTCTGAAAGAGGAGGCAAAGTTCTCACAGTTTTTTTTATGTTTTTTTTTAACCAAACAAATGTAAATTCATGTCCCAGTAAAACTTATTGTTGTCAAATTTTCTTAAATAAACTACTTTACATTACATAAAAAAAGAAACCAAATGCAAATTTA